TTGTCTTCTGCTCCCAAGACCTTTCCTTAGCAGCTGTGTGAATTGAGGGGGCTAAGGGCCAGGCCTTTCTGGAAATTCAGCCTTAGACTTGCACCACAACCTGCCTTCACTCAAGATTTCATGGGTTCGTTCCGAGAAACTCACACATTCGGCTTTCAGAGTTAATTGGTTTAGGCCACATTAGGCAACACATTGGAGCTGTTCTGGAGGTCCTTGTGGAGGGACCATTGGGAATACACTTCCTTACTTGGAGATCCTGACCAAGAAGGAAACCTACCTTATCGCCATTTTGGGAACAAGCCTTTTAAACAATTCCAATGTGCTCATCAGAGCTTTTCTGAGCAGAATCTATAAAAACCAGATGAAATCGCGAAATGGCCTTAAGTACCCTGGGTTACCCCCACACAAAATTTACATGATCTGAACCGTCCCAATGGAAGATGTAGATTGATGGGGCACCATCTTGCGGATGCTTCTTAACTTGCCATGAGCCATCCAAACGTGTAGACCTGAAACATCTAATCCTGGAGAGATAAAGTGACTATATACGACCTGGGTTGAAGAACATGTGAGAATGATTTCCCAGACCCTCTAAAGGATCTAAAAAATGGAACCCGGCAAAATAACACCCCACTACAGTGGAGAAACTAGGAGGTAATTGGGAGGTTCCATTGTTTGGAGCCTTTTGGGGGTCTGGGTTTGAATCTACCTTCCATGAATACAAAGCACTGCAGAGCTCAGTCGCAAACTCTTCTTCTTCTTAGCTTGCTTGCCATCCTCCTCCTCCATGTGACTCATACTTTAAACTCCCAGTATCCCCCCTTAATAACCCTTAAAATGGCCCTATTAAAGAGACCGATAGAATCTCCCATATAACCCCCCTTTAAGGAGATGGCTCTTGTCGGGATGCAGAGGTCCGGACCATGAGTGTGAGCCTCTCTGCTGTTTCTGGCTTTCCCATATTTGCGCTGCATGGTTTTCTTCGTGTGGTATACAGAAGAGCTTACCATAAAGCATGAAGCCCAAAAAGAGGGTTGGCAGGGATTTTGCATCCCATTTCCGGGGTCCTTCTATTTTCAGAACCCGATGTCTGCAACCGTGCCCGCTCAAGGCATCAGGACAGCTCACAGAAGGTTGTGGCACACACACTTCAAATTAGGGGTGCCTTTTTTGGGGGTCCGCATAATGAGGATTTATAATATAGTGGGGCCTATATTGGGGTGGACCGGCTCTGAATGCAGCAACCTGCCAAAAGCCTATGTCGGGGATCAATCAACTCTGGTAAAGTTTTTTGGGCAGTTTCTGTGACATTTCTACGGGACTTTTGGGATGCCTGTTGATTGCCTTGTAGTTTTACAGCTCCTTCGGTGCCCCTGAGGCAAGGGTGCTCCTCATCAGCTTCCTTTTCAGCAGGCTCTTCGGCATCTGGCAGAGATTTCGATTGGCAGGAGATTTTAAGTACTGACGCATAAGTGAGCCTACATCCTTCTTGCACCCAAGACTACAGGATTTGGTGACCTGAGCTCCAAAATTCATCATCAGAAAAAAGGCACACAAATTTGACCCAGGGTTTTCTTGCTGGTTTGGCAGACTGCACGCCCGCATTGCTAAAGAATTTTCTATATACACTCACCAGCAAACAATAATGAACACCTAACTTATCTGAACAAGCGCAGCTGCAAGAGCTCTAAAGCTGCCTCCACTTCTGGGAATGGGTGCTGCAGCAATGCGCCATCAGTTCCAAGCTACTGTGCATCTGCACAACCTTACAATCAGCAACTCTTGGGTTACCTAACCCCCCCAAAATATGGACTGCATAACAATCATATGATAGTCGCAGGGTCCCTCGTCTGGGGCTTGGGATACCAAATTTCATCGTTATGCGAAATCTCTTGACAGCTCATGTTCATTGACCAAGCTGATGGAATAATCTACACTTTACACCCCATTCAGAAGTCACAATGCCATTGAGGAGCCTCAGGGGCAACAGAGTCTCTTATCTCATGGGTTCAACTAGTACCCCCCTCTATACTACCCCCTAGGTTCCCCCCCTTAATTAGCCTTACTTAGACTTAGCTATCCCTAAATAACTTAAGGGGGGAGCCTAGGGGGGGGGTAGTATGGGCTGGTCCACCTTCTTTGGCCTGTTAAGTGAGTCGCTCCAAGGGGCTTCTACAAGGTCAACGTTCTCTAGTATGCGGGCTGGATATGTCAGGGTCTACCCTCGTGGAATATATTGTTGTCCCCTGAAAGGACATGCCCCACATATGGACTCACCAGTGTTGCCCAACAAAAGCCCAGGGCACACTCACCAAACCATGCGGTAAACCCTTTTCGATGTGCATCCTGAAGTAGAAAGTACTTTGGCCGTTTCCCAAACTAGGGGGACTCCAATATGGATCCCAAATGCAATAATCTTTATTGTTGGGACCCCCGAAATGGGAAACCCCGTTGAACCCAGTAAGATTATACTCCTTCTATAAAATACTATACCCAAAAGGAGGATAGAATCTTTCTCTATATTGGGTACCATAGCATCCCCAAGTAAAATACTACTCTATAGCATTGTTGCATGTAAACCATAGTCTATACTCCTGATATCCCCCTGAATATCCCATATAGTAGTTCCCTATATTACCCCCTATATAATCCCCCAACACCCCAAAACCCTAAATCCTGAATTCTGAGCTCGCCTGCGTCCCCAGTTCCAGTGGCAGCGGCTTTGCTTCTTCTCGCGGCCTACGCGCTGGGCAGGCACTGGGCTAGTTATCCTTAGGGTTGTTATATGAGCCATAATCTAAACTCCTTAAAGGAGGGTTATATAGGGGACGATTATGGGGGTTATTAAGGGGGATACTAGGAGTTTAGACAATTGTTTCCCAAAAATAGGGGGTACCTTTTGGGGTTCAACAATAAGGGTTATAGTATTTTTGGTCTATATTGTGGTCCCCTATTTTGGAAAACTACCATCTGTAGGGTTGTTATCTGGAACTAATGGGGTTTTGCAGGGGAATATAAGGGTTACATATGGAGACATAGGGGTGATATGACTTTGGGCCTACTAAGGGCTTAAGGGTTGAAGGCTTCGGATTCAAGGCCTAAGCATTGCGGTTGGGGATTTAGGGATTAGGAGTTAGGGTTTCGGAGTTAGGGCCTAGGGTTTAGCTAGCTTTAGGTTTCATTGTCTAAGGCTAAGCACTTAAGTTTCAGGATTTCGGAGAAACACGTACGTTGGACATGTAGCTTGCTGTGTTCGGAGACGAAAAGCCAATAGGCTGGAATTGCAGGGGCCGGGAGTAAGAACTAGAGAGGAGGACCATTTGCTAGTCTCCAACACAAATGAGCCATAGTCTAAACTCCTAGTATCTCCCTTAGTAGCCCCGTAAATAATCCCCTAATAACCCCCTTTAGACTATAGCTCGCTCAAATGACGAGAGGAATCATGCCATTCTGGTTTTGTTTTTGTGTGGTAAGTAGCAGGCTCTACGTACTTTTTTATGGCTCCAGAAGGGAGAAAGGGGATCCATGATGGGTCGATCTCTCCGCGCCAATGGACACTCCCAGAACTCCAGAATTCAGTGAGGTTGTAACTTCCGTCTGCACTAACAGGAAATGCTCCTTGATATAATACTCTTCTTTCAAGGGGAACATATTCGTTCTAAGAGGGGTGGGAAGGCTTATTGCGTTAAAGCCTGGCATTGACAGATCATGGCCGAATTGCTGACGAAATGAGTGCAGAGTCTGAGGCACCATATGCCGTCAAAGTAGAAGAACAACAGCTACTATCCAAACAACATTACTATCGTTACTGTTTTTACTATGGTTGGTACTAGTCGGAAAGCTCTCCAACTTCACGATACCTTTCATTTTGCGCTTCACAGAGGTTGAGCTTCACTTGCGAGTCGGTGCTCACCCAAAGCTCCTGGGGCCAGGAAAATGGATTAGAAGTAAACTTAGAAGCAAGCAAGCTGTTTAAAAAATGGTCAAGATTGGGTCCCAATTTTCGAGCAGAAGCTACCGCAAGGAATAATGTAAGGGCCCAGACAAGTACTAATATCATCTTGAGGTCTGATTGAAGCATCCTACTTTATGACGTCACAAGGAATCTAGGACCATAACACTGGTGACTATTCAGCTTCTGGATTATCTCCAGACATGATGCTGCCTTGACCTTCACGTCTTTGCTCTCAATGATGATCTTCCCGAGCTGCTTCCTGCAATAGCTTCCAATCGAGGGCATGTCTACAAATTGCCCAATCCTAGGCAGGCCGTAAGAGGAGACGTTCATGAGCTGTGTTCTTTAGGAGCAAGAGTGTATTTGTTGAGAACCCTCTACACCTTACAATGTTATTCCTTTGAAGCGTGGCCTGCAGCTGCAAAAAAAAATCGGCTGAATTTGGGGATGGTGTTGCTTGAGTTGTTCCCGTTCGACCCCATGGCGGCGCACTTCAACTCGCGCACGACGGTCGTCTCAACGTACATCTTCAGCCTCAGCCAAATATCAACACATCATGGAACAGTGTTGATCTTCTGACCCTCCATCCCCTTACATGTTTATATGATGGTAAAAGACCGGGAATTCTGTACAGTGAGGGTAGCATTGCTCTACACCGGCTAGAACTGTTTTGCGGGATTCCATCTAGCGTGGGGGAGGGCACTTGCCCAACATCCACCATCATCTTTTCCAGCATGGCAATTTATCTCTGTAGCACGGTCTCCGGCATCAGCTAGACAGGTGCAGACAATCCACATGGCCTATACTTTCCAGCAGCAAGCTGTACAGAGCCGCTTCCAGAGGTGCCACGGATGCTTTACAGAGAAGAGCTTGAAACGATCATGTGCAGTCAACTGTACACTGAGACTGCGTGAATTCTTCTTAAATCTTAGATACGGCCGCCGTAACAACACCTGAATATCGAAGTTCTAGCCCTTCTATGCTGCAACAAGGAAGAAGAAGGGTCATGTATTTGATTCTAATGCGGTGGGGGCAGTATCCAACTTCAATCTACGGAAATGGCTTCTTGGAAGTCTTCCGCAAGAAGCTGCGGCTCTCTTGGCTGTTCTTCTGGGCTTGGCATCATAGCTGCCTTGAGTTCAATAGATGTCTTGAGGCCTTCCACGACTTTTTGCCGTCTGCGGCGTAGCTGCGCTGTGGCTGCCTGCACTGTATCGCCCACAGCCAAAACCACCTGAGGGTTTGGGGCTCAGGTGCATGTAAAAGGAGATATGGGGATTACATATGGGTTCTATAGGGTTTTCTACCAGGAAGCTAGTTCTTTTTCATTGGGGTCCGACATCGGAGAGGCTTTCGTTGCAAGGGCGTTAAGGTGTTAGGCTGCTTCGGAATATTGTGGTCTGGTCTGGGAAAAGTTCATCTTTGCAAAACGACATCGAGCTCTTCGTTTGAGCACTACAACGCGTAAAAAAGCGGATTGTATTTTGTAGGTGTTCCATACAATGAAGGCCACTTTTCATCCTCATGCTGGGTTTCCGACTTGGTTGTTGTGTACATGGGCACCACCAGTCCTATGACCCGATCAACAGCATCCATGAAGTACTCCTCTGCTCCCACTGCAGCATACAAAGGACGCAACAATGATGAGGATCATCATATTTGCTGCACAGGTCCTGATACTTATGCCTGACACTTGGAGGACCATGACTAGTAATAGCTTGCTAAGAACTGTATTCATAACCGAGTTACACGTCCCCTAAATCCGCTACTGGGGTTATACAGTACAATGATAAGTGGCGTATGAATCCTCCCATATACTCCTACTACTCACGCAGGTAGCCATAGTAACGTCCAAACATATGATCGAGAGCCTGATGCCTGAGGATTGTGGTGTGTCCATCAACCTAGACCCCAAACCGTGTCCATCAGTGACCTGCGCTATACTGCCGGCCTCAATGAAATCCATGAATCGACAGTGCTGTTCAGGGTCAAGCTCAGCGTTGTCAAGTAGGGTCAGCTTCCATTCCAACAACTCCTGCTGTACCTGGGATTTAGTAAGGGGTAAGATTCAGTTCTGGCCGCATAGAACAATGACCAGAATGGTGGAGAACAAGAGGAATAACCAGCGTACCTAGAACATGTTGGGAATCAGGGACAATGGAAGTGATCTAGGGACCCACAAAAGCAGGCCTTAAAGAAAGCTTGAATTGAATGACCCACCTAGCTCTTTAAGAAACCGAAAGACTGGAAGCTTCAAAAGAAAATGCATTCACAGGAACCTGTCACAAAAGTACCAAACTCCTTTGCGAACAGGGAAGAAACAGAGTCCCACGCCCTTCAGTTAATGAATATGCCCCGACCTCTCATATGCATCTAGGGCTTAAAATGCGTTCAACATATAGCATACTGAGGGGCTTACAACGTGTTCAACATATAGCATGCATACGCAGGTTTCAACCTAAGCCTCATAATCCACTATATTGTCTTAGTTTCCGCTTCATGTTCGATGTTTTTTTTTCCATTTGGTTCTTCATTCTTGGGGCCAACATCCCTAAACTTTCCCCAAGCCCTAAATCCTACGCCAATAACCCATAACCCTAAGCCCTAAACCCTTAACCCTAAGCCCTTAACCCTAAACACTAAATCCTAAGCCCTTAACCCTAAGCCCTAAATCCTGCGCATTTACCACTAAACCCTAAGCCCGCAACCCTAAACCCTAAGTCCTACACCCTCAACCCTAAACCTTAAGCCCCTGCGCCTGGGCAGCGCCCAGCAGTGCAGGGCACATAGAGTCAGTCTCGCTCTCCAAGCAGATCAGCTCTTCCAGAATGCGTGCCAGCCCGTCCTTGCCATCTGTTTTGGGGTTTAGGGTTTAGGGTTAAGGGCTTAGGGTTTTAGGGTTTGGGGTTTAGGGGTTTGGGCTCAGGATTTAGGATTTGGGGTTGAGGATCTCTGGTATGGGGTGGAGGGTCTAGAGTCAGCGGTTCATAACAGTAGCCGAAACCCTGGAGCTTAGTAAGCCTGAACCGACAAGTCCAACCCCCATACCCTATGTAAATTACTGAGGGTTAGCAAGGAAGAGGCGAATATATTAGCCCAGGATCAATGAGATCATCAAAAATGTGGAACACTTCGCTGAGCACTGAAGCGGCTTCGGCGCCCATCTGCCGGGTACCTGCCAGAGGTTATGGGGATTATGTACTTGTCGTGTAAAGCTGTGGTGGTCTCTTCTTTACACTTCTCGATGTGTGCATGGATGTAGATTCATAAGTTTATCACTGCACGTTCAAGGTTTAGGCTTAAATGCATGGGAATGATTGTGAATGATTGTGCAGGGTTTAGGGTTGAGGGTCGGGGGTTCAATGCTGAAGGTCTTGGGCCCATAGGGCGGGATATCCGTCTTGATGGGATGGTCATCTTAAAAAAACCCACAAGTTGAAGCCCGTACAGCAGCAGACCTTTCATGTGGAAGTAATTGAGTTATCCTTTTGAATAAAGGTCAGGCCGAGGATTACCCTTGTACTCTGCCTTAGGCTATTACAGCATCCCGTAGAATTCCTTTGACAAATAATTGTTAATAACTGTTAATAGTCTTTCTGGGGCACTTTTCAATCTCCATCTTAGCTTGAGGATTTTTCTGAATCCGGGCCCTACACCGCCCTACACCTTAAATCCTCAAATCCGAGCCTCTGAGCCCTTTGAACAGGCTTCGGACCTCGCTCCAAATGCGGGTGTCCCCCAGTAGCTTGCAGCAAGGTTCTGTGCCTTGTTTGTCTTACTGCTGGCTTGTAAGGGTTTGGAAAAGAATATGGAAACTACTATAAGCGGTTCATATAGATGCTTGTCAAAATTATGCCCCCTTTCTGGGTACCCTAAATATTAGGTGCCGTATTATAATAGGGGCCCAGAACTGGGCCATAATTTTGACAACCATCCATACAGGGTTTAGGAGGATGGGGAAGAAAATGGAGACCACCGCACTATTTGCCCTTTGAGGCTTAGGATGGTCAATAGGGAATGAAGAAGTGGAAGCGAGAATGGAAACTTACCATGCTCATTGTACTTAACAGTTTTGGGTGGTAAGTAGGGAATGAATGACTGGCAAAGAAAAAAGAAACTACCATGCTATTTAGGGCTTAAGGTTTCAGGTGGTTAATCGGTCATGCATGGATAGCAAAGAAAAATGAACTTCCAATTTATTCCGGGTCTAAGATTTAGGGCGGTCGGCAGGGAATGAAGCTTCAATCCGGGACAGAACATGGAAATTACTATGTTATCTAGTGTTTGAGGTCGTTAATTAATCGGGAATAAGGGACTGGGTTATTAGGATTATAGGGGACTATTTAACGTCTACGGTAGGGATCCCCCTCCCCAACTCACTACTAACCACCAATAAGTTCTACAAAAAAGCAGTCCATGAATCAGCTGGGTAGTTATCAGGTGGGTAACCTGAAGGAGGCCCTCATACACCCCATGCAGCTCAATTACTCCATATACCAGCCTTCTATCGTGGTACCCTCTTGGTAACTACCCGAAACATGTCCTTGAACCACGAATTTCCCAAAAAGCAGACCCAATGTACTCATTCATCCACAAATACCATAATCCTTACCACAGGGACAGGGACTCCTACAAAAAGGGCGCTAATGCTTGGAAGCCAACAACCAGGGGAGTATGAATTCAACTTTATTTCCACAGACTGCCAGACCGCTTCCGGAAACTAAGACGCGAATTTCTCACCAGCATGGGTCCTTTTTCGAGCTGCTTTTCTTGAGGGGGCCTGCTGTATTTGGAGCATAAACAGCATAAACCAAGGAAGCCTGTGATGTGTCAGATATGTCGCAACCTAAGGTTGATTAGGGCCAAAACCCAAAGCCCTAAACCCCCGACCCTACACTCTTTGCCCTAAAGTTTTTTATTTGCGAAGCCAGCCGCTGCAAGTCCCTTGGGTGAGTGCCAGGCGGCCTAAGAGGACCGCGTTGGGCGTTGATTGCTTTGTTGACGCCAAAGCGTTGATCCTGAATTACCCAAGTAACCTTTTGAAACTATCTTGTTGGGAGTAGGAACCTAAGAAACCGTAAGACATGGGAAACGAGGGAATCTGGTGAGAAACCTAGAGCACGGAAGAAACCCCTCTCCTAGATCCAGAAAACTACAACCCTACATGAGCTATAGTCTAAACTCCTAGTATCCCCCTTAATAGCCCCTATAGTAGTCCGCTATATAATCCCCCTTTAAGGAGTTTAGTCTATAGCTCACACTGGGGGAACCTAGAATCCGATTGAGAGCCACCACTTCCAGCGCTTCAAGCTCTGCGAGTTGTGCTTGGCCTTTCTCCAGAGCTTTTGCAGACTCTTCCAGTGCCCCTGCTGTCGCAACCTTAGGGTATATCGTTGAAGCGGCAATGATCGGGCAAGGACGGGTCGGATTTGAGAGTTCGCGCGGGGATTAATTTAGGGAGGCTGCTTCAAAGACCCGCACCACCCCCATGCAAGTAGATTAATAATATATTCAGAATATTTTAATAGTACACTATGGTATATTATGTTTAGGGTTTAGCAGTTCATGCACACCCCTGTCTACTCAGGAGTGTTTCGCCACAACAGAACTTCACAACAGGGCCCCTCGATCCTGTGCAGGTCCTGAAAACCCTACATATGGTTATATAGGGCCCCGATATACATCCCAATGCTACAATCACTTCCCTTAATGCTCCGCACATGATGTAACGATACTGTTGGGAGTATTTGTCTATTAGGAGGTGAAGGCTTTGTGGAAATCAGGGTTTAGGCTGTTGGGTTTAGGGTTTAGGGGGCTACGTAAGTACATTACGAAACCATGCTGCCATCAAAATAACATAAGGGAATTCGGATACCATCCGGTCATCGCGCGGCTTCTTCTTGAGCTTTTTAAATCACTATATAGTCCAGCTTCCATTTCACTTTCCATGTGATTATCAATTCTTGGGCGTAATGTCCCCAAACCCTGAGTCCTGATCCTCCCTAATTGTTCTTCCTTACCTTTTATAAATCGAGCTAGCTGCGGGATCTGGGAGCTCCACCCAGACCGTAGAAGACGGCAGTCGCCTGTGAAAGAAATTTTGGGAGAACTCCCGTTCTAGGCATGTGACGAAACACTTGTGTCGTCTATAACAGTAGCCTCGGATTGTAGGATATGATCTGATAATATCTTTGATTTCTCCCTACCTATAAGGGATAACAGTATGCCACGCAGGGGCTACTAAGGTCTCTGAGAGAATTTGCAGGCTTCAGGAGGCTTTAGGGTTGACGTGACCTAATGAGACTTAAGAACGAAGATACCTGGAAGTCCTGCAAACTGGAGGCTACACTTGAAAAAGGAACGCAATCCATGAGCACTACACACTCCGGTAGTCAGCAATAATCCCAACCTCTCCCGATACCCCAAATCCTAAAGCTCCGCGTCCTAGACCCTAACCATCAGCCGTAAACCCCAAACCCTAATCCCCAGAATCAACCGCAAACACTGAACCCACCTTAGACCCGAAGCCCTAATCCCTGAACCTCAAACCTCCAAACCCTGAACCCCAAACCCCTACGGAGGCCCATGGAACTTAGTAACTACTTATACTAATTATAATCCCCCTAAATGGGCTCATAGGGGTTACCCCACTTGTAAGTAGGGTTATAATCCCAGTTCTAAGTATTTACTAAGTCCCATGGGCCTCCAAGTAAACCCCAAACCCTTAAACCTAGCCCCTAAACCCTATACCTTGGGTCCTGCCCCCACCCAGTAACAGTCTATACTAGGGGTCATATAAAGCTAAACCCTAAACCCCTATACCCTAAACCCTAAACCCCTATACCCATGCCTCAGCGCTGCTTCGCAGCACTCCGCTGCCTTTGCAATGTCGGTGGAAGCGCTGGCGGCGGCTTCTGCGGCTTCAGGCTGCCTGGGTAAGCTTGCTGGCGGTGGGCTTAAAGGGGTTTAGGGGTTTAGGGGTTTAGGAGTTTAGGGGTTTAGGGTTTAGGGGTTTAGGGGTTTAGGAGTTTAGGGGTTTAGGGGTTTAGGGTTTAGGGGTTTGGGGGTTTAGGACTTAGTAGGGTTTAGGGTCAGGGAGACTTTTTTAAGGAATGGAAAATGGAAAAGGCTGCTTGGGATTTAGGGCTTGAGTCCAGTGGGTGGTAGGAATGCAAGGGAACATGGGAACTACTGCGTTGTGCAAGGGTCAACAGACAGGGTGGGTAGTAGGAACCCAAGTCACGAGGACTCCCTATAGTCAGAGGACACTCCTGCACCACTTGGAGGGTAGCTTAGTTACAAGAAGAGGTAGCTGGATTTATCAAAAGATGTTCATTGGCATGATTGGGAATAGATCCAGAAAACTAGAACCCTACATGAGCTATAGTCTAAACTCCTAGTATCCTCCTGAATCACACGTATATTCGTCCCCTATATAATCCCCTATACAACCACCCTTAAAGGAGTTCAGCTACCCTTAAAAGAGTTCAGACTATAACTCATGTCAGTAATCTCCAAACGGGAAACTAAATTCCAACTTCGGGATTGCTAGACCATACTTTTAGGTGGACTCCCGCCCAGTAATAATGACTATACGGGGTTATATGAATTATACCAAGGTCCTCTTATATTCCTATTATACCACAATTCCAGGATGGGGAGTTCCTCCTAACTTATAGATGCGCACGTCTCCGGGAGTTTTCCTTCGTACCCTTAGGTTTGGGTCTCTAAGCAATGGAATATGGCCCTTAGTAAGGGTATTCGGGACCCAAAACCTAGGGTTACACACATTAAGGGTACAAAATTCAAAGTCTTTGAACGTCAGGGATCATGAGCCTAACCTCCTAGCTTCGGGAGGTACTTAACCTAAGCCTTTTGGATTGTCATTGTAGGCTCCAAGTACTTGACCTTACTGGCAGTTAGAAGGGACTACTTTGACAGAGTCCAGATGCTCTCCATTGAAGGCGGAAGCCATGATGCCTCCTGTCTCCATTTCTTGGAAGCTTGCGTAGAGCTGGTCGAACCTTTGCTGCCTGGGCCAGATGAACCCCAAACTAGAGGATCCAAAGCATGGAGCACTCCAAAATAACTCCATGTCTACATTGGGAGACTTGAGGGAGTTTTGAGAGGTCCCAAAATGTGACTCACAGATTTTGTTCCAGGGTTTAGGGTTCTTAGGGACAGAACTCCCAGATCAAGCCGGCGGACCTAGGGACTAGGGTTTGGTGTCTTGCAGACCTGGTCAGCTGTTTGTAAAAGGAACTTCTAGGCCCGGCCGGGGTTTATGCCTTTAAGGGTTTAGGGTTTAGGGCTGACGGGATGGGCTGAGACAATGAAGACCAAGCTAACACTCAATTGTCCCTCATGTTGGCTACTGCCCCACCCTGAAACAATTATATCTGGGGGTTGGTTGGGGACGCTGGGGATGTGTTGAGACGGTACAGGGTTCTAAGGTCTCATACAGATTGAAGAGAGATTTGTTTTAGAAACTCCCATATGGGACCCCATCAAGGATAGAATAGTGTTAGCGCTGAGTATGTCGACTCTTTTCGGGTGGTGGCAGCAGCGGACGCGCATGCATCAGCACCTTTGATCCTCCGCATCCTCCCTGCCCAGCACACCCGCCCTACTTGGAGGTTCAGGCAGTTCCAACCCAATGATTACCGTATTTAATATCCCAATTGTAAAGCCCCCCGAGTCCCCATGCTGTTTTCGGATCACTACGGCAACCAAATTTGGGGAAAGCTCAAATAGGAACATGATCTATTCGCATAATCTCTTCCCTCATTCTACACTGAGAACCAGTAAGACTAACCTCATTATAAGGGTTGGGGTTGCCCAAATAACACTAAACCCCAAAGCCTAAACCCAAAAACCCTAACCCTAAAACCCTCAGTAACATTGCTCCACTGCTTTGGAGCACCATCTTCAGCCTAGATGCAGTGTGCCCAGGGCTGCCATCATCTGCATTAGAGTGTTTGCGGCTGTGGCCACACCAGGGGTGGCACCTCAAGTTTAGGGTCTCAGATTTCTGCCTTAGAGTTTTGGGTTTAGAGTTTAAGGTTTTGGCTTTAGGGTGTAGGGCTTGTATTTCTTCATGTGCCTGTTTTCTTCTTGTTACTTCTGCGTTTTGTTACTATCGGTACAGCTAGCGTTATTGCTATCATGTCATGGTGACTTTTGGTTTCAGGGCTCGAGGTGTAGGCTTTAGTAGGATTGAGGGGGTCAATCCCGTTTCCGTCTCTCTGCAGAGGCTTCGGCATGCCGAAAAAGAGGACTCTGTATCGAGTCTTTTGGGGGTTTCCACATTGCTGTATATGGAAACTTCCTTTAGTATCTGTGTCGAAGTTGTGGGACGGGTAACAGCAGTACTGGTGCAGACAGTGATACGGTAGCAATTGTAGGAATGCTCCATTTCGCAGTGCTAACCCCTCTCCTACTGCCAAATGTGCTGCGCATTCCAGCTTTGGATATCTGCATCCCAACTTTGCGCTTAGATCGCTGAGTAGTATGACACCAAGAAGCTACGAGCATCAGCAAAGGTTAACCTCAAAAATCCTTCGAAGAACGACTTCTACACCAAACACGCAACCCTGAACCCACAAAGCACCTTTCTGTGGCCATGCCAGCCCAGCCCACACGGAGTAGCGGGCTACGTGATCAGCATCTTCGTCCTGACCATGCGTAATGAATTCTGGCTTAAAGATGATAAGTCAACAGAAGCTAAAACCAAAAAACGTCTTGGGTTGTTTGATGTGAATGCCCTGCCTCTAGTACACGTTGGAATGTCATTCCCATCTCCGTAATGAAGCTCGCCCCGCCCACCCCTTAATAGCCAATTTTGACCCCATAACATATGCGGAACATTCATTCAACTAGAAGGGGAGCTCCCGATGAGTCGACATCCTTTCACCTCAACGCAAGGTCTGCCAAAAATATGGTTCCGAATGTCATATGACCCTTACTATGTGAGGCACCCGACAATAGGACCACAAATTTGGCAACCTACCATTAAAGTCTGATGTAGGATGCCCTCATTAAAAAAAGGTCTCCCAGTAATAAGCATCACAAGGCACTGCCCTAGACCTTTATGGTAAGGCTGTCCAGGGCACAATCAAAGTGAGTCTCCATTGTGCAGTGCTGAGTGACCTGATAATTTGCAAGCCACCTGAGCCCGCAAGCCAACCTGAAACCGTAAAGAACAATCTGAGGATAAACAAGGACCATAAGAGGACTCGAAAAATTCACCCTTCAGGAAACTACAGAGAAAATGTTGAGCAGGTCCCCACCTCTCCAAGACTCCTCCTTCAATCCTATCCTAAACCCTTAGCCCCCAGACTCCTTCTCCCCAAGCTTGCGCAAGGCTAAAGAGCCGGATCGTAAGCCTTTGGCCATGCCTTGCTCATTTGATACATGTTTAGGGTTTAGGGTTTATGGGGGCTTCTCAAACTACGGTGGATACTAAAAATCCTGCATGACCCTAAGTACATTATGTAGTGGGAATAACGGGACTATTGTATATTAAGGTCATGCAGGATTTTTAGTATCAACAGTAGGGGTAGCATTAGGATATGCGTAGTTGTGCAAGGCGCATTGTCTGTAATTTCCTCTCCTCATTTCGTGCAATTAGGTCTATACTTCCTCTGGCGGTGTACTTCTTTGATTCTTCCTTAAAACTGCCCATATTAGTCCTCACTATCTATTGTCCCGACTGCACCAGAGGGGCCGGGAGACCCGCTGGGGTGGGACCATCATACATATACATGTTTTTCGGTGTTGCAAAAAAACTAAGGGGTACCTTAATGGGGGTCCCTATAATACGGACCAGATTATTTTGAGGTATTTGTTAGGATCCCTTATTTGGGAAACGCAGTAAGGGATGCCTTTCAAAGACTTTAGAGGATGCTATCGGGAAACTCAAACACGTACAGTCATGGCCTTCCTATGCTCAACAGGGACCCTGCAGCCTGAACATCCCCTGCATCTTATGCGGTCACAAAACATGAGAAAAGTGGGGTTCCTTGTGCTGAAGACAAGGTGCTTCTAGTTTGTGCGAGCTGGAAGGTCCACGCGCAAGATACGCGATGCAACTGAACTGGCAGAACGGGGCCAGACCAGACATCTATGTCTGTACGGCACTCACAGTGAGAAACGAAAAACCATCTATGAAAACTTTGTGACACTTGCAGAATCAGGTACCAACTTGAAGGTTGCTGCTCTCTCTGGACGCTAGGGTTTCGAAATGTGGTACATCTTGAAAAACACTTCTTCTATATCATCTGTAACAGAATATATAGCTTTCTTCTAGCAGAATGCACCCAGTAGCATGTCTGCCCATGCAAACAGAAGTCACCCGTGCATGACACAAAGGCTTGGAACTAGGATCCTAGCACTGGGAATAAACAATCTTTTGTCCCATAGACTCCTAGACCCTAAGCTTGGTTGCTTCTCAGGAACTTAAACCAATTTACCAGCAGAAGGACACCCTGTCATCTTCGAGATATCCCTATTATGTGTGTCCCTCAACCCTCAAAGTGCCATCTGCGCGCTTTGAGAGATCCTCGAGTCCCTGTGGCCCGACGCTGGGGCTCTGAAGAGCAGCAATTTCGGCTCTGCACATTGTGGGAGAAGCTGGCAGTTTCTGAGCTTTAAACCCTAAACAGTAAAGGAGGGATAGACAGCGATGGCTGAAATGCAGGCTGAAAAACAGGCACCCCTGGTTTGTATCAGAAACTGCCAGTTGAGTTACGATTCAGGACTTAGCCTACCTGTAACTTGGGCTTGGGCAGGGGCAGCAACATGCGATCATACAGAGTCCAGGAAAACCACAAGGAAAACCACATAGGCAAGGGATTGTATTTATGCACGGAAATAACCGATATGTTGCGACCTTCTTTGTCATCCAGACATCATGCAAGAAGGCCTTCCGAAATTCGGCATGTGACTCCAGCAGGCTTTTCTCTCAACCATCAGCCACTCGGACTTTTATGAATTTTCAGACATATTCGGGCAGCTGCTTCACGCAGCAGCCAGCAACCCACACTAGTGAAAGAATGAAGACAGCCGGACTCTGAACTTGGCAGCCCCTACTTGCGCAGGATTTGAGAACCCTTCAAGTCCCACCGAATCTGACATCCTTGGCAGGTTTGACAACATGAAAGCAAAAACTAGGGTTGCAACCGAGCGACAAAGCACTCCCATCATATTGAACATCCTACACCCGAGTGGTGCAGATGTAGTCATACACTGCCATACACCATAAAGACATGGTGAAAGTAGTCCCCCCTCCTAATAACAATTCTCTAGCCCCTAACAATCAGTACTCCTTGTCGTGTATCATGGTACTGATCTGGAAATATTCCTGCTGCAGTAGGGGGTAGACGAAGTTATTATTTGGAGGAGCGGGACTGTCAATAAGCCATCCAAAGCAGACCCTACTTGGAAGCCCATGGCACTTGTAACTCTACCCCGCTATAACCCTATTGAGTACTGGTTCTTACTAGGGAAGAAGGGACTAGAACGCCTATATAGTCCTCATGTTATATATTCTCATATTCCCTACTAAGCCCCAGTAAGATTAGGAGACCTGGAGGTCTTATGATGGGGCTGTATGCACCATTGACAATATGTTACAAGTACTCACGGACCTTCCAAGTAAGTGAGATGGAATCTTTGCTTGGACGCAGGCCGATCCCTGGTAACCTTGGCGACGGAATGCTCCAAAGCAGCCGCTGGTTGTTAGTAAGGAATGAAGGGAGGTGGGTTAGAGGGACTAGTGTGAGGGTTTATATACGGACTGCACTACACGGAACCTTTTCTCAATTCCGCACACACCCCCAAGAGTCTCGGGAAGGAGCCTTAAGCGCATACGATTAAGAGTGAAGGGTTTAGGGCTGAGGCAAGAATTCGGGAGGACCCCTTCTCAAGGAAGTCCAGGCATGTGCTGACCTTGACCACATCAACTTCACACCAGCACAATACCTTCCTGTTCAGTGTGTCATAAGCTTGCATATAGAGCTCGGCAACCTCCATGCTCCAAAACATCTCAGGGCATACTGTAGAGGCCTAAAAATCAGAGTAGGGTTTGGGGATATAATATGCTGAAATGATAGGAAGGTTATCAATAAACAAAATCCGCGCCTTCTACAGTACGCTCAAACCTTCCAGCAATTCTTTCCCTTGGCACTTGGTGGCTGCAACGAGTTTCTGAAGCCCGCGCGTAAGGAACGGCCTGCGGGCACGGCGATCTGAGCTATACTCTAAATTCAACTCCTACTATCCCCCTTATAACCCGTATAATAATCCTTTATATAATCCCCTATATGACCCCGTTGAGGAGTTTAGACTGGTGCTGAGAACGATTCGGGATGTTATCGGGGCCGCTGTTGGGATCGACTACCTTGTTCTGGACTTAGGTGAAGTAGGGTGGTAGATGTTTGATTCCATTCAGGATTTATTTAAGCAGCGAAAGCAGCAATGCAAGCTTCGTGCAATGGCTGTGGATCTTTTCTTTGTGCTTGGGGTCCCGGTGCTGTAGATCCCAGTATCTTGGCCAGTAATAATAACAGTAACTCTTGAAGAGGAAGTGATTGG